CCCCCGTTCATGCTCTGTCTCTCTCTGTCCCAAAAATAAATAAAAAACGTTGAAAAAAAATTTTTTAAAAAAAGAATTAACAATTCTCAGTAGATAATTCTCACCTCGCCTCTTGGTCCTACTCCACAAAACACTGTCATTTGTCATTGGAGATGCTGGACGGGATCGGGGGGTCGACAGTGTCCCACGATGATATCGAAGTTATCTCTGTTCGAACAATGGGAACACAGGGTCTAAAGTAGATCTTTGTACTACACAGTGACTTCCAAATTTAAACAAAAGGGGTCAATGAATGGATCATCTCCCGGGGACAAACATGGGCCAGTCATGCCTCTCTGAGCTGATTCTGGATTACGTTTCCTACATGGAAGGTGCCCCAGACTCATTACTTTGTGCTTGTCTTTGTTTACTCTTTGACAGCCTGAAGGTATTGAAAAAGAAATGACTCAAAGTTTCCTTATCTGTACACAAGGTAAGAGACTCTTTTAGGTTGTCAAATTAGTCCCAAAGAAAATTTGTCAACAGAGTCAACTTATTTCCTTTCCTTACACATTAGTTCCCTGGCCACACTGAGTAATTTCAGTGATTTCATGTTAAGTGCCTAACGGGGGATGATTTTATTTCATCCCCTATCTTCATTGTACAATTTTGGCTAACCAAAAGTATAATTTGTGAGAATTTTTTTGTCAGTTCATCTATGACATTGGTCTGCCTCAACCCGTTTGCCCATTTTACATATTTTTTGGTTCCTCTTGCCATATGATTTGTTGCCCAGCATTGGACAGAGGAAGATCAGGACTGGGAGAAAGCAACCCACAGACACATCACCACCCCTCAGTCACCTGCTTTGTGGCCATCTTGATGATGATCTGATGTTAGTGGGAATCTCCAAACTTTGCCTTCTGTGTGTGCTATTTTATATGTCATAGTCAGTAGTTTTTTACATTTTTTTCACACATAAGGAGTTTAGGCACTCTACTAATGGAAACTAAGGGCCATTATCTAATACACACACACACACACACACACACACACACCATTCTCTGAATGTATTATTATTCTAAACTAGATCAGAGATTTCAATTTCATCTTTCTAACAAGCAACTTGCAAAATAAAAGTCAATAATGGAATCTGTTTCCTAATATGTTTGTCCCACGTATCTGCCTGCTATTGTCTGTAAAAGAAAGTTATCACATTATCTTTTTTATCAATATTTTCCATCTAGGGACCAAAGTCTCCAATCAGGTCGTTTTGGACTTGCCAAACAATGTGGTAGAAAGATCATCCAGGGCCTTTTTCACTGTTGTGGGTAAGTTGGCTAAATCTTGTCTTTCACAATGAGCTGAAAATTTTGATTGAGGTGATCTTAAAAAAAAATTAATCCTCAAAATAACAGAATGGAGAGATTTCTCTAAACTATTAGTTGGCGGGAAGGATTGTTGAAGGTCATTCTCTATGCTTATTTCCATGTGGGATCTGAAAGGAGAATGGTACCATTTTCTTTGCTTTTCTTCCACATTTTTTATTTAAATTCTAGTTAGCTAAGGAGCACCTGGGTGCCTCAGTCGATTAAGTGTCCAACTTCGGCTCAGGACGTGATCTCGTGGTTGATGGGTTCGAGCCCCACATCGGGCTCTGTGCTGACAGCTCAGAGCCTGGAGCCTGCTTCAGATTCTGTGTCTCCCTCTCTCTCTATCACTCCCTCACTAGTGTTCTGTCTCTCTCTGTCTCCCTCTCTCAAAATAAATAAACATTAAAAAAAATTCTAGTTAGCTACATATAGTGTAATATTGGTCAGGAGGAGTAGAATTTAGTGATTCATCACTTACATATAACACTCAGTGCTCCTCACAAGTGCCCTCCTTAGTACCTATCACCCATTTAGCCCATTCCCCCCCCCACCTCTGTCCATCAACCCTTAGTGTTTTCTCTATTGTTAAGAGTCCCCTGGGGCACCTGGGTGGCTCAATTGGTTGACCATCCCCCTTGGGCTGAGGTCATGATCTCCCAGTCTGTGAGTTCGAGCCCCACATCGGCTAACAGCTCAGAGCCTGGACCCTGCTTCAGATTCTGTGTCTCCTTCTCTCTCTGCCCCTCCCCCACTCATACTCTGTCTCTCTGCCTCTCTCAAAAATAAACATTTTAAAAAATTTTTAAAAGAGTCTCTTATGGTTTGCTTTCCTCTCTCTCTCTCTTTTCCCCTTCCCATATGTTCATCCATTTTTTTTCCTAAATGTCACACATGAGTGAACTCATATGATATTTGTTTTTCTCTGACTGATTTAGCTTGCTTGGAATAATACACTCTAGCTCCACCCACATCATTGCAAAGGGCAATATTTTATTCTTTTTGATGGCTTAGTAATATTCCATCATATATGTATATATATGTATATGTATGTGTATATATATGTGTGTGTGTATATATATATGTATATGTATGTATATATATATGTGTGTGTGTGTGTGTGTATATATATATATATATCTCCACATCTTCTTTATCCATTCATCAGTCGATGGACATTTGGGCTCTTTCCATATTTAGCTATTGTTGATAGTGCTGCTATAAACATTGGGTGAATGTACCCTTTCAAATCTGTATTTTTGTATCCTTTGGGTAAATACTTAGTAATGCAACTGCTGGATTGTGGGGTAGTTGTGTTTTTGACTTTTTGAGAAACCTCCATACTATTTTCCAGAGTAGATACACCAGTTTGCATTCCTACCAACGGTATAAGAGGGTTCTATTTTCAAATCTATGCCCTTAGGAAACACTTGTTCTGCTGGACGATAACTGCCATTTAGAAAACAAAGGCTTCTATTATAGCTCATTAATCGGAAATATTATACATATTTATATATTTCCCCTTTGAAAAATCAGAATAAACTTTGCTTGGTAAAGATGCTGAGAATTTCCTCAGTAACAGGCAAAATCTATTTTACAAAAGGCAAACTTCTTTTTCTAACATTAATGCTTTTGTGGGAGGGATGGATTGCAGTTATAATTCACAGGCTCAGTTTCTCAAAAAGCTAACAAGCAAACAAGCAAAGACACACTTTTCTAACTTCCCCCTGTCTCTGGTAAGGAGATTTTCAGAAATATTTTGTATGCTTTGGGGCACCTGGGTGGCTCAGTCGGTTGAGCACCCAACTCTTGGTTTCGGCTCAGGTAATAATCTTGCAGTTCGTGAGTTCGAGCCCCGCGTCAGGCTCGGCGCTGACAGTGAGGAGCCTGCTTGGGATTCTCTGTCTTCCTCTCTCTCGGCGTCCCCCCCTCTCAAAAATAAATAAACATTTAAACAAAAAAGAAACATTTTGCATACCAGAAACTCCTTTAATTTCACCGGCTACGCCTATCTCCTCTTTAGAATTACCTCAGGAGAACGTTCCTTGTTTCCACCATTTAAATGCAATTTTAGGGACACCGAGGTGGCTCAGTCAGTTAAGCATCTGGCTTTGGCTCAGTTCACGATCTCAAGGTTCATGAATTCGAGCCCCGTGTTGGGCTCTGTGTTAACAGCTCAGAGCCAAGAGTCTGCTTCAGATTCTGTGTCTCCCTCTCTCTCTCTGCCCCTCCCCTGCTTGTATTCTGTCTCTCCCTCAAAAATAAACAACCCTTAAAAAACAATTGTAATGCGATTTTTAATATTTCCTACTTCCACTGTGTGTCTTTTATCTGTGGTTGTTAATGCTGAGGTACCAACCATAAGCGGTGGTAACCTTCTGCTTTTCTTATTTTTAGGGGATATTCTAGGACTTGCGATGCAGAATCTGGAGAATCTTCTCCAAATGCCCTATGGATGTGGAGAGCAGAATATTGCCCTACTCGCATCGGATACCTATGTTCTAGACTATCTACAATCTACTAAACAGTTGACCGAGGAAGTTAAATCTAAGGCTTTCTATTTCTTGTCTAACGGTGAGGCTATTTGAGTAATTTCCACCCATAATAAATAAAATCAATTGTCCCTGATACCAAGATGTCCTAAAGCTATTATTATGAGGTGGTTTAGTGGGGGGGGGGGGGGGGGGGGCAGGTAGATATTTATTTTTGACCCATAATAGTGGGTCTGGACTCCGAACTGAGGTGCTCTGAGTCCTAGCTATTTTTTCTTTTTACTTCAGTATCTACGCGGTCATTCAGCTTCACCGATTAGAACAATAACTTTTAAAATTATGAGCCCAGTTTTTTTTTTCATCTGAACACTGTGCCACCCTACCCAGTTTGTTGCGCTTGTTACTAATAGCTATAAATAGCTCACTCATCAAGTTCTGTATTCGTTTGCCCAGTTGTATTCCATTGCAATGAAGTGACTGGATTTGTATGTAAAAAAAAAGGATATACAAACCTTGCAAAATGTGACACCAAGGAGAGATCCAAGGGGATAATTTCTCCAGGTTTACTTTTCAGAAAGATACCACAGAAATAAATTAACCTTAAGGAAAAGGTATTAAACAATTAGTTAAGTGCCACTTAGTAAGCTAGGCATAGTCACATGTCATATCTGGTTATTAAAACCCTGTAAAGCATGACTGACTTTTTCTCACTATGGATAGAGAACCCAAATTTCAGAAATTATACTTGAAATGATCCTCCTAGTAATTTCTGTCTGTCTAAAACCCAAACACAGGGGCTTGTGCTATGCTGTTCTTTTTCTTCTAATTTTCGTAGCTTGAAAAACTAATTTCCTATTTTTTTTTTCACTTTAGGTTATCAAAAGCAGTTGTCTTTCAAAAACTTTGATGGTTCATATAGTGTGTTTTGGCAGAGTAACCGGAAAGGAAGCCTATGGTAAGAGGTGAACATTTTATTTTAAATTTTTTTTTTTTCAACGTTTATTTATTTTTGGGACAGAGAGAGACAGAGCATGAACGGGGGAGGGGCAGAGAGAGAGGGAGACACAGAATCGGAAGCAGGCTCCGGGCTGCGAGCCATCAGCCCAGAGCCCGACGCGGGGCTCGAACTCACGGACCGCGAGATCGTGACCTGGCTGAAGTCGGACGCTTAACCGACTGCGCCACCCAGGCGCCCCTGAACATTTTATTTTAAATAATGTAAGAGTGATCCGAAGAGGGCTCGTGACAGTCTGAGGGGGCTGAGTTCGGTGGGATTTGGAACCAAAATGAGTTTCGAAGTGACTTTACGGAAATGAATCACATTGACTAAAATGTTTGACTATTCTATCTCTAATACAACCATATAACTAAAGTACCGTGGCAATTTGCCTAGCAGTCTGATCATTTAATCACACCCCCCTGTACCTCCACAGCCTAACACTGTGGCAAATGACACAGGTTGGTCTGCACTTCTCAGAGAGCCATGTAGATTCAGGAGAGAGGAAAGGAAAACCAGAAGGCCCCAGAGCATCTAATTAAACCCATTCTGTCTCCGTGTATAGATGATCCAATGAACCACAAAACAAGAATTTTGAGTGGAAACACGCTGGAAATTACCTACGCTTAGGTTCACATATTGACGTTCACAGCATTTTACTGACCCAGTGGAAAAATCCACTCTCAGTAAATGTTCTTTGCGGTCAACAGGAGCCAAATCAGACGCAGCCACTCTTGTAGGGGGAACAATGCTGATGAACCTGTTGGAGAAATGACGTCTCTTTCTTATCTAACTGTTGTCTAACTAGTGATTTGTATTACAGGCTCAGTGCCCTTACTTTTAAGACATTAGAGAAAATGAAGGAATATGTTTACATTGATGAACAAGTTCAAAAACAGACCTTGCTCTGGCTTTCAAGCAAACAGCAAATCGATGGCTGCTTTAAAAGTGATGGCAAGCTTTTCAACAATGCCTGGGAGGTGAGAGATGAACAGAATTAGGCCTTCCTCGCGTCGTTGCATTGCCTACCTTTCCTACTCCTGGTCTAACTCATCTAGAACAGGAATATTTTTCCTGGGAATATTACCCCTTCTGAGTCCACCAGGGTTGTAGGTCCCTGATGTACTGGTCAACAGCCTCATTCCCCTGCATGCATGTTAACCACAGCTAGACTAACTCCTCCTGAACCTGCTGTTTGCCTCATGGTCTTTAGTTCTTCCACAGAACTAGTCTCCTGCAGTGGAGAAACTAAAAATAGGAGAGAAGGAAGAAAAAAGAAACCTAGAAGGGAAACATTCATAAATTTAAAGTCAGACAATATGTTAAAGAATGGGGACCTAATTAAGGAATTCATTCCTATTTATGGATGGCAAGAATGTTCAGGAAGCATATCCAGTCATTCACAGCATTTCAGTGAAACTCTTTCAATGTTTTCTCAAGTCAAAGGAGGAAGGCTTAGGTTGCTGTAGGTCAAAATACAAATGAGATGAACTATGTCCTTGAAGGTACCCACCCCTTCGTTCCCCTGTGCATATGTAGGTAAATCACTAGGCATTTTCCCTTCTGCTTTCCTTTCTTTGAGGATACCTGTACACCTCCATTTCATCCTCTACATTCTTTTTTTTTTAATTTTTTAATGTTTATTTATTTTTGACAGAGAGAGAGAGAGAGAGAGAGCATGAGCAGGGGAGGGGCAGAGAGAGAGGGAGACACAGAATCGGAAACAGGCTCCAGGCTCTGAGCTGTCAGCACAGAACCCGATGCGGGGCTTGAACTCACAGACCTTGAGATCATGACCTGAGCCGAAGTCGGCCGCTCAACCGACTGAGCCACCGAGGTGCCCCTCCGTCCTCTACGTTCTTTATTCTCCTAACCTTCGTATTTCCCTCTGAAAACAAGCCCTGATCATGATTTTTTAGCATGCCATAGTATCGCCTAAAATATTCGGGGCTTTCCCCCTTTATTGTTCAGAGTCACCACACCTATTTTTGGATTTGAAACCTAAAACTAATCCACTTCAAAATATGGACAAATGGGCACTCTGTATGGTATTTCATTTTAATGCAATTTTTTTCGAATTGTTATACTGTTTGTAGTGTAGAAAAATGTCTTTATCTTTTTACTGTTTTAAAGTTTGTTTTTGAGAGAGAGCGTGTGCAAGCATGAACAGGAAAGAGACAGAGAAAGAGGGGGAGAATCCCAGACAGCCCTTGCGCTGTCAGCACAAAGCCCAAACCTGTGGCTCGATCCCACGAACCGTGAGATCATGACCTGAGCCGAAATCAAGAGTCGGACACTTAACCCGCTGAGCCACCCAGGCTCCCCTAGACAAACGTCTTTAAATTATTTCAAATCTCTTCTTCACAATAGGAGCACCCTGGTAGAGAAGAGCTCTTGTCCTTATGTAGAAAATGAGAATTGTGTATGTTCTTTTCTAAAACATCTCTGCAAGCTTTCTTCTTACCGGGCTCGTTACTGATCACTGCTTCCGTGTCTGATCTTCCCAATCCCTTTTCCACGATTCTGTGTGTGTGTGTGTGTGTGTGTGTGTGTGTGTGTGTGTTGAGTTGGGAAGGAGTAAGAAGCAACAGAAAAACAAGAACCCATACTGCAAGAGAATGGTGATAGAACCTGTTATAATTTAAATTTTTTTTTTTTCAACGTTTATTTATTTTTGGGACAGAGAGAGACAGAGCATGAATGGGGGAGGGGTAGAGAGAGAAGGAGACACAGAATCGGAAACAGGCTCCAGGCTCTGAGCCATCAGCCCAGAGCCTGACGCGGGGCTCGAACTCACGGACCGCGAGATCGTGACCTGGCTGAAGCCGGACGCTTAACCGACTGCGCCACCCAGGCGCCCCTAGAACCTGTTATAATTTAAATGGATCCCCACAGCTTATTTTGGTGTTCCTTTCTACAGTTATTTGCACCTTGCAAACTGAGCTCCTCAGATGTTCATTTTCTGAGGAAGAGGTCACCTTTTGCTTAAATAGAGAAACTGAGAGGTTTATGCCTTTCAGAGGATCTCAAATGCCATCTGAATGCTATGCACCTATATCATTAGAGCACCCATTCATTTCCCTGTGTCTTATTCCTAACTTTCTGAATCAGAATCTCTTGTGTGAATGCTGGTTTATCTAATGCTTAAGTTCTCCACTGCATTTTTATGCATTGTCAGCTTACAAATTGCGTAACTTATAGATGCTTTTCTGGTTTTACACTCTACGGATCCTTGAGACCTGACTATCGTTACCTCCTAGGATACGTCCCCAGGGACGCAGCTTCGCAGCAACCTTCTGCTCCAGGGCAGCAGAAATTCTGTGTTTGTTTTTCCAAATCAACAACAAATAAAGGAAAATAGAGCCTTGGGAGTTATTTGGAATTCATGCTCAATCCTGGGTCATGCAAACAGATTGTCATTTCGTGTACTTGACATTAATTGTATTTTTGTTTATTTCATTAGTGTCATGAATCTTGATGGATTCTCACTCCGATAGCATAGTTATTAACCGTCTCATTTTAAAATTACATTTAGGATGTTTTTATAAATAAGAGTATTGGTTCCAGTGTTTCTAGCATACTTAGTTTCACTTCAGAAGAATAGCTCTTTTTCGTGTGTGATCTACTATCCTGTGTGATTAATTGTTCCCTTGTGTTTAGGGTGGAGAAGAAGAGGACGTTTTACTCACCGCCTATATTGTCGGAGCGTTCCTTGAAGCTGGACTCAATTTCACCGTACGGATTCTTATCATCCTTGAGTTCCAGCTAGTTGAATGCACATTGAATGCATTATGGGTTCAGAGCGATTTGAAATCCTTAGACTGAACGAAACATCGGGAGAGCATTTAATTCATTACCCCTCCTTAAGTTAAAGCTGCTCAAAGTTTTTCTGATTCATAGAAACCTCTGATGAACGCTTGCATTTTTCTCTAGGGAAAATACACATAGGCACACATCCGCAAGCTTTTCATACCATTTCAGGTATCGAGATATCTCCTTATGTCCAGCCATGAATTTCAGGTTAAGAAGTCCTGTTTCAGGTGTAGACGTAACCGAAGAGTCTGTTTGTCAAACCAGTTTAGTATGTAAACATTTTCAACTGAAGTGTGATCATATTGGCTACCCCCCAATCCCAAATTCAGATTATCCGACTGAAAAATCTATTCCTGAACTAAGTGAAAAAGCAGGAATTTTTAGTCACTAGTATATCTCCAAAAGCATCCTTAGAAATATAATGCATATTACTTGGCTTTTATTTCCCAAACACCAATATTGTCATTAAAACTGAATTTTAACAATATTTATGAACTATCACACATACGTGTATATGAATAGGTTTATATGCAAAACATACTTCAAGGACATATTGTATACATTTTACAGAATGATTAGTTTAAATAGTCAGCAAGCTTATAAAGTATTCAGGTATTATTTTAAAATATATTATTCTTCGCCTTGACTAGTTTCCTGCTCTACGAGACGGGCTCTTTTGCCTAGAGGAAGCACTTCAACACGGGGTCACTAATGGCTATAATCATGCAATTCTAGCTTACGCTTTTGCATTAGCTGAAAAAGAGGAGCAAATGGAATCCTTACTCCAGATCCTGGATCAATCTGCTACCAAAACAAGTAAGTATTATTATTCACTCTTACTAATGAGGATGGCTTTGAGAATAAAGAAATGAAACTTACTTGTAATCATATAGGAACCCCGTCTTCACTGGTCTGCTTCCATTTCTCTTGTGGAATTTCTCGGCGCCCCTTTATCTTTAAAGAACATTACATAGGGCACCTGTTGGCTCAGTCAGTTGAGCATCCAACTGTTGATTTCAGGTCAGATCCTGATTCTGGAGTCAAGGGATCAAGCCCTGCTGAGCGCAGAGCTTGCTTAAGATTCTCTCTCCCTCTCTCTCTCTCTGTCTCTCTGCCCTTCTAAAATGACAAAATTAAATTTAAAATTAAAAAAGTTTTAAAACAATAAAAATAAGATCAAGAACGTTACACGTTTTCTATTTCCCTCTTTCTCCTTTCTGTTAGTTTCTTTTCCAATGAGTGAAGTAGAGAAAATCAAGCATGGTGACCATGCTTGTCACAAGCATGTCCAAGATCCAGGTATCAACAAGTGAGGTATCCACAAGTCCAAGATCCAGGTATCAACAAGTGAGGTTTCTCTTCTTGGCCTATAGATGGGCATCTTCTCCCTCTGTCTTCACACGGGCGTTCTTCTGTGCACCTGTCTGGTGTCCCTTCTGTGTATCCAAATTTTCCCCTCTTATTGGAATACTAGTCATACTGGAGTAGAGCCCACGTTAACAGTGTCATTTTTCACTGAATCACCTCTTTAAAGGCCCCATCTCCAGAGGCGCTTGGGTGGCTCAGTCGGTTAAGCGTCCGACTTCAGCTCAGGTCACGATCTCGTGGTCCGTGAGTTCGAGCCCCGCGTCGGGCTCTGGGCTGATGGCTCAGAGCCTGGAGCCTGCTTCTGATTCTGTGTCTCCCTCTCTCTCTGTCCCTCCCCCATTCATGCTCTGTCTCTCTCTGTCTCAAAAATAAATAAACGTTAAAAAAAAAAATTTAAAGGCCCCATCTCCAAAGAGAGTCACATTCAGAGGTACTGGAGATTAGGGCTTCAATATGTGAATTTTGAGAAAACACATCTCAACCCACAGCAGAGGTCAGAAATGGAATTCGCACTGTTCTTATGTGTAATCAGCGGTATTTATAGGGACTATGTGAAAATTCTTCCTTTTCCTTAGATAATGTCATATACTGGGAACGAGCAAAGAAACCCAAGACAGAAGCATCCCCGTTCTTTATTCCTCATGCACCTTCTGCTGAGACTGAGAAGACTTGTTATGTGCTCTTGGCTGTTCTTTCCAAGAAAACTCCTGATCTCACCTATGCGAGTAAAATTGTGCAGTGGCTTGCCCAGCAGATGAATTCCCATGGGGGTTTCTCCTCCACTCAGGTGATTGACATGGGCCTGATATTAATCATATGTTTCATGCGAAAGATGCTAGCCTTCAATAATCTAGATAGCAAAGGTAATCATAGAAAATACCTTCTGAGATGAAGAATATTTGATATTGTGTATGCCCAACGATTTGTTGGGCAGTTCTTGTGCAACAGAGACTCTGCCAAGAATTCTTCATATACAGATGAATAAACTAAGGCCTCTGTTCAAGGAATTTGTGACTGATTTTTACCTCCACTTGCACAGTAAAAGTAGAATGTAAGTCTAGAAGGGATTGTTACCGTAAGCACCAGAGTCTTGACGATGTTAGATATCCAATAATACTATGATACTACATACAGACCAAGAAAAAAAATTTCTCTCTATTTATGTGGTGTACGCATTGGGAAAAACAAATGGAAGTAATGAGTAACAAAAGAAGGGTATAAAAAACAGTGGCTAATGTCTTTCCTTAACAGGAAAAAAAGTAAAATTCAAAGAAATGCGGTTTGATTCCTCTGAAGGAAATTGTTACTTCCCTCCTTATTTTCTTTGCTTTAGTCTTAGTATCTGAATAAAATCATATGTTAGTGAATCTCCCAACATCCTTTTCTGATTCTGACTCCTTTTCTTGAAGATTGTTGGGCATAAGCATTATCCAAGGCAGCCAAAGTACATAGAACCTTAATTTCTAGAAAAGATTTGACACTATTTTCAACAACAGAGACTACATTGCATTAAATCCTTTAAACTAAAATCTAATTAAGATGGGTTGAAGAAGATTAAATGGCAATCATTGCATAAGCAAATGTATCTTCCTATGACTTAAGATTTGTTTCTTGGTCCGTTGACCTGTCTTAGGGATATTTTTACAGATTGATTTAAAGTTCATGGTCAAGTGATGACTAATATTGCAACTTAACAGAACTTAGATCTTGGCTTCTACTGTTCTTTGCAGGACACTGCAGTCTGTCTTCTTGCCATGACCCGCTACATGAAGTTAACCTTCTCTGATGACCAAAACACCGTCACCTTTCGCAGTGAAGAATCCAGTGAGATTTTCCAGGTTAACAGTGACAATCGCTTACTGGTCCAGCGTTCCGAACTAACAAAAGCACACGGACAATATACAGTAGATGTGGAAGGACAAGGTTGTACGTTTATCCAGGTAATAGAAATCTACCTGAGGCAGAAATAAATATTTGCCAGTTAAAAAGCCAGACTATCCTTTTAGTTATAGATAGAGTGTTATTTTACCATTGTATATTTTCATTATCTCCATTCTTTCTCTCATTGATATTTTCTAATCAAAAGCTGAAAATGCAAGTTATTTTATGAAGAGACACTTAAAACTAAAGATAGCTGGGTAACTGAGAAGTTTCTCGAGGAATGTCACTGTTAGAAAAAATTCCGATATTTCCATTAAATTATATAAAGGTTCTTACATCTTCTGAAAACTGAACAATTACATTTAGCCTTATTCCCTGATGGTAAAGATATAAAATAAAGTGCATTAGAAATAAATATAGAAGGGGGGGGTGCCTGGGTGGCTCAGTTGGTTGAGCGCCTGACTTCAGCTCAGGTCATGAACTCACAGTTTGTGAGTTTGAGCCCCACGTCGGGCTCTGTGCTGACAGCTCGGAGCCTGGAGCCTCCTTTGGATTCTGTGTCTCCCTCTCTCTCTCTGCCCCTCCCCTGCTCACGCTCTGTCTCTCTCTCAAAAACAAATAAACGTTTAAAAAATTAAATTTAAAAATAGAGGAAACAGAAGTCCTTCAATTTTTACTTCAGGATAAATTTGTCTTATGATTTTCTTACGATTCGCTTTTCTTTTTAGGCTACCCTGAGGTATAACACACTCCTACCTAAGAAGGCATCTGGATTTTCCCTTTCCTTGGAAATGATAAAGAAAAACTCATCGGATACATTCCAGAACCATTTTAACCTGACCATAACCCTCAAGTGAGTGTCCCATTTTGACATCAACTCCCAGCTTAGACAGAGGGCGATAGATCAAACAATAATTATTTTAAATAGTAGCAAAATAAATATTAATGATGGCAACCACGATGAGTTCATAGGTTGGTGGTGATATTTCTACGGCATAGTTACTTTATAGCTCTCTCTGTACACACCAGTTTAGTACTTATGCAAGTATGATTTGTATTATAGGCAAGTATAAATTTGAAAGCTTCTGCTGGAAATATATTCCAGCATTGCTCCCATTTGTGTGTGTGTATGTGGTGTGTGTGTGTGTGTGTGTGTGTGTGTGTGTGTGTAAGATCTGTCAGATTTGGGAAACAGAGATACTATTTTTTTTTTCCTCCTGAAGACCACACAGTGGGGCCAGTACAAGGAAACTTACAAATACTGGTTCTCTAACTATGCAGAGCAAAATTTTAGATTTTTATTATTTGGAGTAGATGAAATCATTCTCTTGAATTAAAATATAATTTATCGATGCCAGAGAGCTTTAATCCTAGTTAATATGTGGAGAAACACCGAGTAAAATTAGTTTGGGGGTTTTTTCTTAGGATTTCCGAATGAAAATCTTTTAAACGTCAGGGCTAAGATAAGAACTACATACGCTGTGGAACCCTCAACGTCATGTCCAAACAATGCTGTCCAGAGTAAGGGACATAATCTAGGGACATAATCTAGTAGTCAGGGCATGACTACTCTAAGATTCTGCCAACATCTTGCTTTCTAAACAAAGATATCCTTTATTGTGCAAATCTAAGGCTAACATAAGTATATGTCATATAAATTTATCAGCTTTGTTTAAAATTCATGATTTTGAGGCCTCAGGTAAACTTAAAAGAGATTGGAGAGATTCTGGGTCCAGATAATTCACTCTTTACTCCAAATTACGCTCCTTTGTATCTTCTCATCCATTATTATCCTAGTAGTGCCTATTCTCAGATGTTTGGGAATGACTTTCTTCGCCCTGTTCCCTCTTCAGTTCTTGCCTTGGCTCCAGACGTACAGACAGTTGGTATCTACGTCTCCATCATCCTTGCCTTACTATAGGTCACTTTTCCAGACAGTTGTCTCAACTTGTGTTTGTTTTTAAATTTCAGATATACTGGAATCCGCAATAACTCCAATATGGTCCTTGTTGATGTCAAAATGCTGTCAGGATTTACTCCAGTCATGGCATCTATTGAGGAGGTAAATAATAGAAGCCTAAAACGTGAGCACAGAAAAGGCTACAGTGTATACACGGAATAATTCGCTATCAAATGCTGTCACACAGGAGGGACGGTGTTCTTACTTTGTAGCAATTAGAAGTCATTTTTTCCCATAGTTCATAATTAATTTCTTTATTTAGTTCCTACTTGTGTTTATAAAAATATCGTGGCATGGAACACCTGGGTGTCTCATTTGGTTAAGCATCTGATTTCAGCTCAGGTCATGATCTCGCAGTTCATGAGTTCGAGCCCTGCATCGGGCTCCACGCTGGCGGTGAGGAGCGTGCTTGGCATCCTCGCTCTCTCCTTTCTCTCTCTCTCTCACTCTCTGCCCATCCTCTACTAGTGCTTTCTCTCTATCTCAAAATAAATAAACTTTAAAAAATATCATGGCATAAGGGAACATCCATAAAATGGATTCCTGACAATCAGTTAAGTAAAAAGCATGAAACATTCAATACTAGAAGATATTCTTTAATATCTATTCTCCATCCCTCCCTGCCAATTTCTTTAAAGCTTGAAAATAATGGCCAAGTGATGAAGGCTGAAGTCAAGAATGATCATGTTCTTTTCTACTTGGAAAGTGTAAGTTGAGCAATAATTGCTTTTTTTTTTCTTCCGTGGCTTTCTTTTGTTTTCTGAAGGTAATTGGATGCTTGTGTTTTATTCATACATATATGAATTTTTATCCAGTTGACCTTTGAATGACACAGGTTTGAACTGCATGGGTCCATTTACACAAGGATTCTTTTTTTTATAAGTGCAATACAATACTGTAAGTATATTCTCTCTTCCTTATGATTTTCTTAATAACATTTTCTATAGATTTAATGTAAGAATACAGCATATGATATAACATACAAAATATATGTTAATTGTTTATGTTATAGGTAAGGCTTCTCTTCAATAGGAGGCTATTAATAGTTAAGTTTTGGGGAATCAAAATATATATGCAGATTTTCAACTGCACAAGAGGTCGGTACCCTTAACCTCCATGTTGTTCGAGGGTCAACCGTATATCTGATGGGGTTTATTAGAAAATATGGGACATTAAAGATGCTCAGTGTTCTTCCATTCCCACTTCTCCCTCTTAACTCTAAATGTCATTAGATATTTAAGATATTTAATGATATCTAAATATCACTAGATAGTAAGAGTTAACAAGCGTGTTCATATATGCTTTAGCTACTTTACTAGGATGACTCAAGTCAGCAATATCATTTTCCTGTTTTTCATTCCTCACAGCATCTAACATAGTATGGACACAGAGTCGATGTAGAATTCATGTAGAGTTTAACAGGAACTCCCAACAAAGGCTGTTTTAGAGTCGTCCTTTCTGTGTGTACATCATTACCTTTCACATAAATGCCTACATTACACTAATGCTCTGAACTAGATTCCTTTCACTTCAATATAAGCAATAGGACTTCAAATTTCTTATGTCACCTAACACATGATTTTGTCATTATGTAAGATACTGATACCCTAGTTCTTTTTTTTTTTCAATATATGAAGTTTATTGTCAAATTGGTTTCCATACAACACCCAGTGCTCATCCCAAAAGGTGCCCTCCTCAATACCCATCACCCACCCTCCTCTCCCTCCCACCCCCCATCAACCCTCAGTTTGTTCTCAGTTTTTAACAGTCTCTTATGCTTTGGCTATCTCCCACTTTAACCTCTTTTTTTTTTTCCCTTCCCCTCCCCCATGGGTTTCTCTTAAGTTTCTCAGGATCCACCTAAGAGTGAAACCATATGGTATCTGTCTTTCTCTGTATGGCTTATTTCACTTAGCATCACACTCTCCAGTTCCATCCATGTTGCTACAAAGGGCCATATTTCATTCTTTCTCATTGCCACGTAGTACTCCATTGTGTATATAAACCACAATTTCTTTATCCATTCCTGATACCCTAGTTCTATTTAATTGGGTAAATCATGAACTTCTGGATATGATTTGCTCAGTGATTTTCTCTTTGCAGAACTGCTGATGTATTTGTACCTAATGTATTTATCATTTGCGTCCTCGTGTGATGTAGACCTGATGTATTTACCATTTGTATCTTTCTAGGTTTTTGGTACAGTGAACAGTTTTACTTTCTCTGTTGAGCAAAGCAACCTCGTGTCCAACATACAGCCAGCCCCGGTTATGGTCTATGATTATTATGAAAAAGGTAGGCAAGCAACGCCCTTGCCCTAAAGCTACTGAACATGACCATGATATCTAGATCTAAGACTCCCTGAGCCACTAAATTTTCCGAAATCAACCTTAGTTATCAAATACTAAACAGTAACTGGTTTTACTTTCTATATTGCTTTTTTGCCCTCCCTGTTGTATCTTCAGACTGGGCCATTTTCGAGTTACCAAAGATTTTTGGCACCTAGAATCTTTTTGACATAGTGTGAGAAAGCGCCCCTTTAACTTGAAATACAAACCATTCAACACTTCCAGTCTCTTTGTTGCTCTTACCATTTCGTGCTACCTTTATGGACTTTGATTTGAGAAGGAGAGTGGACAGTACTCTGAAATGTTATAGAAAACTCTTGATAGATTAGGTTCCAAAACAGTTGCTAAGATGGTGTAAGGACCATAAAAATTTTCCATGGAAGCTCAGTGTTGTTAGTTTCTCATTGAATGTCACATGAAATTTGTCAAGTAGCATTTGAATTCCTGCTCCTGTCCTTTACTAATTGAATGTACTTCATCAAACGCTTTAAACTTTAATACGATATTTTTGGATTTAGAAAATGGAGAAGTGATTGACCGTCTTACAAAATTATTGGAAAGATAAGACCTAATGTATCTATATAGTCTGACATAATCTGATTATAGAAAGTTGGAAACTTAATAAGGGGCGAACTTTCTCTTTATTTTCCAGATGAATATGCCCTTGTTACTTACAACATCAACAGCGTTTCAGATTCCTCGTGAGAAAAAACAAAGCACCGGAAAAGGTAAGAAAATTACAAATATTGAAAATATATCTACAACGAAAGCCTAAAAAGATAAAACAATAGATGAAACAGAGGGAAGTCTGCCATATGTCACAGGGTTTGAGTAGCTATGTGTACTAAATGAGTATCCTGATAGTCAATAAGATTTTATTTCTTTCTTTAAAATAGCTTTAAAGAATTTCCAACTGTATACGTGGCTTTTGTACATGACTCATTTTTTAAAGCCTCTCATCTTTGTTTTATAAGTTGATAAGTCATCAAATATAGATGCACATACATTTATACACATTCACGTATAGATTAGACGTGTATGTGTATTTGTGTGTGTGTATATATGTTTGTTCTGCTATGTCTATACCTATCTATCCATCTGTCTATCTATCATCTATCTATCTCTCTCTCTATGCACACACAGTTATTTATTGTTTAACCTATGTTTTTAAATTCCAGATGGAAAGCTATTTACTTTGAATAAACTCATCTTTCTGTATCAAACCTGGAAGAAAGCCATGCATCACCTCCCATACTGAAGAGACCACAGTCTTCTGTGACTTCTTATCAGATTGTATTTTTTATTGTCCCATAAAATGCTTTCATTTCTCATCTGAGTCTGTGAGTTTCCCTCCTTTCAGTACATTATGTGTAATTTTCATCCTGGGAAACTTAGGACTTTCTTTGATAGCGGCTCTCATAATTTTCTTTACTGGTGTCAATTCTGAAGTCAAGTTTCTAGACACTATGGTGTACAGACTATGGGATCCTCCAATATCCAGAGAAAGAGCAGGAAAGCCAGGGTCAGTGGACGTGAGGGAAAGAGATGAAGTTAAAGAGGACTTCATATGGGCTCAAGGAAATAAAAGAAACACAGGCAACACAAAACACACAGACTCTTCTCCATGAAAGATCATCAGAGAATAAGGGGAAAAGTACTTAGAAAGTCACAAATTAATTGATGGATTTATTAATTTCCTTTATATAATTGAGAGGGAAGTCCAATGGCATTTGATCTTTTGAAAATTAATTTATTATACTGATTAATACAGGCTTATGACTCTGCTGAGATACTACTACAAGTAAGAAAAAGATACAGATAAATTCTCCAGTTGCTGATCTGAAAAAAAAAAAATGGAAACAGAGTATCCTGGACTCTACCAGTACCCCCAAAATTAAAAATATAGTGTTTTAAAAGAAAATGGTTAAACTTATTTTTGTAGTATCTCTGCCCAATGTATGTTGCTCACAGTGCCTCAATTACAACTGGGCCCTTACTAAATGTTTATTAATTGATTCATCATAGATACACTGTTGGGGTGAGTCCACAGGTGGCGCCACAAAAGTTTATTTCATTGGGTTAAGAATTGCTTGGGGCGCCTGGGTGGCGCAGTCGGTTAAGCGTCCGACTTCAGCCAGGTCACGATCTCGCGGTCTGTGAGCTCGAGCCCCGCGTCGGGCTCTGGGCTGATGGCTCGGAGCCTGGAGCCTGTTTCCGATTCTGTGTCTCCCTCTCTCTCTGCCCCTCCCCCGTTCATGCTCTGTCTCTCTCTGTCCCAAAAAAATAAATAAACGTTAAAAAAAAAAATTAAAAAAAAAAAAAAAAAAAGAATTGCTTTATACCTTCTCAGTTCGCTTGTTTTACCAAAACATGGCACATCAGATATGTAGATACGACATCAGTACTCCATGCTTTTAAAGACACCCTAGGCTCTATATAAATTCAAGAGTTACATTCAAGGAAAATACGACTCCTTGGTACATGGTAAAATAAGAGGAATTCACTTTGTGGTAAATAACGTCCCTATGTGGGAAACTTTTTTTTTTTGCCTAAATAAAGAATTCTCAATCCTCATCTTAACGTGGCACGTATTCAATAGTCTGCGGACATAATAAAATCGTTTCCCCAATTCTAAGGAGGCAAGGAGGGCACGATGAAGTCTGCTAATGGCTGTATTTCAAGGCACAGAGAAATTCTAGAATTTAATGTTTACTCTTCCAAAATTTCTTGGTGTCACAGTGAGGATGAGAGGTAGCAGGGAACTGAGATCTATGTATCTTCTAAAGAATGAAAGACTATTGATGAACAGTATAGCTCTGTTAACTTGCCCTTTGCATTGAAACCTCTTTCCAGTTTATGTTGGACAGAAAACCAAAATAATTTTCCTGGTCCACATTTCAATATAAAATGGGGCCTAAAGGAGTACCTGGGTGGCTCAGTGGGTTAAGAGTCTGACTCTTGATTCGGGCTCAGGTCATGGTCTCACAGGTTTGTGAGATCGAGCCCCACATTTGGCTCTACGCTGACAGTATGGAGCCGGCTTGGGATTCTCTCTCTGCCCCTCCCCTGCTTGCCCACGTGGGCGTGTGAACTCTCTCTCAAAATAAATGAATAAACAATTAATTAATTAATTAATCAATCAATTAAATGGGGCATACCGGACATTCCAGCGTAGGAGTATTGAATGGGAAATGCCAAGTTTTGATGCGATTGTGTGTGTGTGTGTGTGTGTGTGTGTGTGTTTAAGAAAAGATCTTTAGTAAGCTAGACCACCATGGACTATTTAACGGAGGATATACAGCTTTGATCTAGGTGACACTTGCATTATCAAAGCATCATATGACACTTGTCCCTCTTGCCCCTCTACACTAAAGTACTTGGACAACAGGAATAATTCATCCCGTCGTGTTTTTGTGTAGCCGTCACACTGGTTTGTGTTTGCAGTTTGATACATTATGTTCACATTTAACTGGTACATGAAATACTTAACCCTCACATCCCCTTTCCTGTCTTCTAGACATCTCATCCTCTTTGGCCTCCTCCTCATTCTATCAATTTTTTCTTATTTCTCTTGTCTTGGCCTCTTGCCTTTTATTGTTTTATCTTCCTCCCATCATCCCTTAAGGATTTGATCCCCTCCCATAATATACACCTTTTCTTTCTCACTCTCTAGATACCAATTGATCTTCTTCCTTTCGGCCCCACTCTCTTCCTCCAAACATTAAATAATATTTTTCATCATGATTCTAGCAAGCCCTCTTCTCTTCTCTTTACACATACTAAAAATCCTGTGATTTAATTTGCATCTATATTTTTTATGATTCCCAAATATATGCCTCTCTTCCTACACTTCAGCCCCGTGAATCCCACTGCCTACTGTACTTCTTTAGCCACATGTCCCACAGGCGCTTCAATAACATCCATTATTTACCCCCAAACTAGCTTATTTGACAGAGGTCCTTATCTCAGGGTGTGACAATATCATCGCTAAACAATTAATCTGAGTATCAACCTTAACTCCTTCCCTGTCTCATCTCTTGCATTTTACTTATTTACTGTTGGCAATGGACCCGTGTTGACCTATCACATGAATGATTCACTGATCCATTTGCTTTTATCCACGTTGCCATGTTGCCTTAGGTCGGACCACCAGTCTTGAGGGCCCACATGTGCCAAAAATCTCTTCTAGATGGTGGGGCTATAGCAATGAATGAAAATAGTAAGAAATGGTTATCCTTGTGGAGCTTACATTTGAATGGGAGATATACACAATATATGTAATCTAATCAAACAATATAGGTAGGCATAAAATTAACATCATAGAGAAGCAAAATCTAGGAAATAGGAAGGTGACAAGTGTTAGGGAAAAGAAAAACTGTAGAGATGAGTAGGAGGACACACAACATCCAAGGAGACAGGAAGAGGAGAAGGACTGAAATACTGAGTAGATTTAGGTTCGACCTCCTTAAGGCAGTGACATTTGAAGAAGGGTCTGAAGGAGGTGAGGGAGTTAACTACATAGATGTATTGGGGAAGAATATTCCAGGCAGTGAGAGCAACTAGAAAAGCAGGAAGGGGGGTGCCTGGGTGGCGCAGTCGGTTAAGCGTCCGACTTCAGCCAGGTCACGATCTCGCGGTCCGTGGGTTCGAGCCCCGCGTCGGGCTCTGGGCTGATGGCTCGGAGCCTGGAGCCTGTTTCCGATTCTGTGTCTCCCTCTCTCTCTGCCCCTCCCCCGTTCATGCTCTGTCTCTCTCTGTCCCAAAAATAAATAAAAACGTTGAAAAAAAAATTTTAAAAATAAAAAAGAAAAGCAGGAAGGGAGGAACATGTGGTGGAAACGTGTCTTCTGTGTTCACAGAGCAGCAACTACCTTAGTGTGACTAGAATTGAGAGAGCAGAGGGGAGCATATAGCAGGGGTGAAGGAGGTGGGAATCGTAGTGGGGAGTTAGATCAGGTAGGGCATTGAGGGTCACCATTGGGACTTTAGCTTTCCTATCTCTCCCAACTTTTCTTTCTTTTTACAAAAAACATGCATATATACACAAGATATGGTGGTCCTGGGGGAGAACCCCCAACACACACACACACACACACACACACACACACACAC